TGTGTGTGTGTGTGTGTGTGTGTGTGTGTGTGTGTGTGTGTGTGTGTGTGTAGGGGGGGGGTTATAAGGGAGGGAGAGTTGCGGCACAGATATGCAAACATAGATGGGTATATAGGGTGGGGTTGGGGTGGGGAGGAGTAGTGGCACGAGTACATTGACATTGTTGGATCTACGTAGTAAAAGGCGGTGTGTGTGGCACAGGCGTGGCACAGGTTTGATACTGGTACACGTATGCAAATGGGTGTATGGGGATGTGGAGGTGGGTAAGGGAAAGGGGGGTCGGGGTAAGCAAACGAGGTTGAGAGTATGGAGGTGAGGGGAGGGGGGGGGAAGTATGAGACAGGTACACAGATGCCAGTGAGTGTATGGGTGCGTGTGTCTGCTTTTATGTTGACGTTGAATGCCCTGGCAACAGCAGAAGCGCGTGAAACCCACCGAGACCTAGGTTTCTATGATACTGAGGTAAACCTACCATTTTTTCTTGGGCGGCAATGGTCAAATGTTGTACTGCTTTTGATAAACTAGCTCGCTCACGGTGGAATCAGCGGGACTCGGAAATTTCTTCGTTGTGTAGGAATATCTCTGGGCACATGTTTTAAATATGAGTAATAATAACTGTAAGAAAAAAATTCGCTATCTGAAAATTTGTTTGCTATATGCGCGTGCTTTGTTATGTAAGTGTTCGATGAGCTTGCCAGACTGCATATTTATACTCTATTCTTTCCACAGGTGGGAGGAAGAATGAAGCTAGAAAAGCTCTCTGTTGCGTCGTTTTTAAATACACGTTTGCTGGCAATGTTTTCATCACTTTAATTTACATCTGGAGTGAAATAAGAAAGTTCTTCGCCCAGTTCATCGTGGAAAAAGAACATCTGTGATCCTTGCTGTCCTGAAAAAAGTACATCGTTCAAAACGAAACATCGTGAAAATAAAATATACTTAAATTTGACTGAAGTTTGGGAAATGAAAGAACCTTTAGCTTCTGCCATCGTGGAAACAGAATGTCCTTGACCCTTATCACTGTAGTGGAAATAGAAGGACCTTGAGCTTCTGCCATCGTGAAAATAGGACGGAAAACAATGTTCTCAGCTTAGCAGTCCTGTGTTGTCACACAGCAAAAGGCCGTTGTTCTCTGATTCCTATCAGAATGTTTTACCATGGGTTCATCCGTATCAGTCTGTGCATCAGTCACACTTTGCGTGTCGAAAGCTTGTGTGAGTACGCAGCAGGCTTTTACAGGCTGAAGGAAAAAAATAAAGACTGTCTGATCTCACCCTAAAAAAATGTCTCACAGAGTCATGGAAAGATCTGTGTGAACTGTCTTGTACGGTGTCTGTTTTTAGTGTGAGAGAAAATGTTCTTCTTTTATAAACTTGATGGAAAAACTAAGTCGTTTCGTAAATTAAAATCATATTCGGAACGAGCGAATCAAAATTAACCAAATAGCGCGTGGGTGACTCTTTTTCTTGATGTGCTTTGGAGATCACAAAAAGTGTTTTCACTATGATTGCATCAAGTTTTTTTTATCTACTAACACAAAGATGCCGAGCAGCTGTCAGTTTTAAATGAACGTGTAATACCCCCATTAGAAACTTTGTAATTCTTATTTACTTCAACGGGGACCGTACGTGATTGGAGGGGGTCACTAGTAGATCCAACTACTGTTCTTTCTTGGTGATTCTGTCTATATTATCTTGTTTTAAGTTCCCTAAAAATGACCCCTCTTGTGTCGAGGTGCTTGTCTTTACTCGAGCAAACAACTGGGGAAGAACTCATAGTTTATATAGCGCCTGTTGGTTTTCGGTTTTCTAGGTATAAATGTACTCTCGAATCTGTCCAAGACCATAACTCAATGCCGAGGAGGAAAGTGGTCCCCTTAATAATGATAATAATTACAGATAATAGACAGCATTTGTTTAGCGCCCATTCCGGCTCAACAGCACAACAACTATTACCCCTGTAGACCTGTTAGCATTCTGAAACAATCTCAACTTCCTGGTAGCATATCTTAGAAGGCTCTCGTGACACAGAAAAACATTTTGGGGAAGTTTGAGCAAAGAGAGCACAATGACGCAATAAAGGTCATATGTGACGCAGCGTGGTGGAATCAGGCACTCGTCAATTTTTGGGCATGTTGAGTTATTGATATCATCTTAACGGGAGGAGCTACCCTTGAGGATCATTTTCTATATTTGTTGCCCAAAATCAAATCTAAGTACACATATAAGTTAGGCATAGTAAAATCTCTTGATACGCATTTTTGTTTTGGTATAGCTACTGCGGTTGCTATGGAAACGGCCGCCATCTTGAAAATTAACAATGAATTTCAAATCCCTAAGGCTTTCTTATTTACTGACCAAAATTGACCAAATTTGGTGAGAGTATACCTGAACCAGACCCTATTAGAGTAACAGCAAGTTTTTTTCAATAAGCGCAAAAGAAATAAAAATGTGACAAATTTCCCAAAGTATAAAAAAATTTTTTCTAAATTTAAGTTGCGTAATCGCTCGCCAATTGTTTTTTTTTTTTTGCAAATATCTCTCTGTTACATTGATGGCAGTCTTGCCAACTATGTTTCCTGAAAGTTTCATGTCAAAAGGAAGAAAACTAAGGAAGGAGTAGGGAAAAAACTGCACAAAAATTACATTTTGCGAAAACCGACAATAATTGTGAAAATTCACTATGTTAATCCATCCTCGTGTTTTTTAAGGCAATTTACCTGGAGAATAAAGTCTTTCTCAAATGTATCCATGCTATTTTTCGACTAAAATTTGGTTGATCTTTAAAAATCAGCCAACATAAAATGTGCATAGCCTGACCCAAAATCTACAAAATCAAGGGTCGCTCCTCCCCTTAAAGCTTGTTCATTTGTCTTGCTTTCAATGAAAAAAATTACCCATCCATGTACAATAGAAGTGGAGATATTTTGGATTGAAGGAGGTGGGGGTCACCTGGTTTAAGAGGTAAATTTAGCGACAAAGCTTGGTAAATTCCAAAGCTGGAGAGTCCATGGAAACTGTAAATTTATATTTTTGTGCCCTTTAACTTTAATCAACGTTTTCAGTGAAATCCTCAAAGGAATGTGTTTGTAAATGGACATAATAAGTTTTGAGCCAAAAAATAATAATTTGATAAAAATTGCCAAGCAGGGAGAAAACTGGTTTTCTTTGATTTCATTATTTTGACGAGAGCCTGATTCCACCATGCTGCCTCACATATAGTCAGGAGAGGAAGCAAGACGTATTCATTTACTTTCTCTCTCCCTATACCGTCAGGCAGAGAGCAATCGACGCCACGCTTGTCTGTCCCTGACCACATCCTCCAATCGCTGCAAATCCAGGCCCTGGGCGATTGCCTCATCCCTTATTACGCCTCTATAGCTTACAGTTGGTTCTCCTCGTTTTCTTTTTCCTGCTGGTTTCCAATACTATGTCTGATAGGGCAATCTTGTCTTCGGCATTCTTAGAACTTGTCCTAGATAGCTCCGTCTTCTCCTTTTTATGGTTGTGTTGATATCTTCAATTCCAGCTCTTCCCAACACTCCATTATTTGTAACAGCTTCATTTTATTAGTAGAATTCTTCGTAAACATTTTGTTTGGAAGCTTTTAATTTCCGTTGAATTGTTTTGTTTGTTTTCCATATCTCTGAACTATACGTCAATACAGCCAAAATATTTTTGATTTCTTCTTCAATGAAATGATCTTTTACTTCCATAATATAGTTTTTAATTTCACATAAGCGATCCATGCATTTTTCTGTCTTTGGTGGACGTCGTCGAGGCAGTCTGCAGTTTTGGATATAATGCTGCAAAGGTACTAGAATTCATTAATTTCTGCCAGGAGTTCTCCATAAAGAGTGATGGGCGTAGCAAGATATATATATATA